GGTGCCCGCAGTGCCCTGCCCACCCCCTGCCCGCAGGGCAGGTGCAGGCAGGAGGATGGGGCCCCGCGGGCAGCGGCAGGGTCGGGGCTGGTGCCCGGGCTGAGGAGATGGGACCACCGGGGACTGGACCCCCTGCAGCTCCCGGTGGTCTGAGCCCGAGGGCCCTGCGGCTCCTCGCTGAGGATGCTCTGGGGCAGGAGCGCAGAGGGACCGTGATGGAAGTGGTGACCCCTGTGCTGGGATGTGCCCGGCTCAGAGCACAGGGGCTGGGGACACGTTTGTCCCCCTCGGAGAGGCCGTGCCCTGGAGCGCATCCCACACCATGGCTCTGCCGGCATCTCCCCTGCACCCAGCCGGCGGCTGGGGGGGTCCCTCTGTGCTGCCCCTCGGGGCCGGGGTCCATTCGGGGCCAAGTCCTAGAAGACATCGCTGGCAGGGAGGAGGCAGCTGCCGGGCAGGCTGTGTGCCCGGCTGTGGTATTGGGCTGCTTGGGGAGGGAGCTGAGGCCGCCCCTGCCTGCAGCGGGAGGGAGGGCGCAGGGCTGGGGCTCCGTCCCGCTCCGGAGGGCACTAGCTCTGCGGGAGGGCTGAGGCCCCAGGGCTGTTCCCCCGGGTGGTGGTGGGTGCCTGCCCTGGACCCCCACCCTGCCCAGGGGTGTGTGCCCTGGCCGTGGCCGGGGGTCCAGCAGCTCAAGGAGCACCCTGAGGACCCATCCTGCAGGAGCTGCCCAGCCCCTGCCTTCCCCGCCCCCCCTCCCAGTCACAGACACCCTGCTCCCATCCTGTGGTGTGTCCTGGCATCTGCGGGCGGTGTCGCTCTGCCTGAAGAGAACCTGGCAGGGTCAGCATGGCCACCAGCAGCACCCTGCCCAGGGCTGCTCCAGCTGTGGGGCTTCCCATGCCGTGTTGGCCCCAGCTCTGGGTATGGATCCCGGCTCCTGCGGGAGGCTTTGCTCAGTGGCACGGCTGGTGTTCACCCTGCCTGGCTGTGGCCTGGCATGGCGCTGGGCCCCGGGGTCTCTGCCCTGCCTGGCACACAGCGGTGGCCCTGTGCTGCCCCAGCCCAGGCTCCTGCAGGGACTGGAGGAGCCTTGCAGTGAGCCAGGTAGGTGCTCAGCCCCCCGACTGCCCCGATGTGGCCAGGCTGGGGTGCGGGCATGATGCTGCCCTGGCTCACAGAGCCCTGCCAGGGTCCCGGGCATGGCATGTGGCAGAGCCCAGCCGCCGGCCCCTCTAACCCTGTCTCTGTCTCTTCCTACCCACAGGGAGTAAAACCCAAGGCGTGGTGCAAGGTGTCACCTCAGGTATGGGCCCCTCTGGCTCCCCGCCGCGGTACCCCTCTGGCCGTGAGAGTGCGGCCACGCTAACGAGATCAGAGGCTAATTGAGGGGCTGATGTCACCCGGCTAAAGCCTCTTATATAACAGGGCCCGCAACGAACGATTTGCGGCGGCTGCTCACACTCCATGCCCAGCTGCAGAGCAGCGTCCCGGCCCCCTCCCCTCCCCAGCGCCCGGACAGGGAGGTGGGGAGGGCCTGATTCTGCCCAGAGACTCCCCACCAGCCCCCCCTGGGTGGTTCAGGGCACAGTGCCATGGCTGGGCACCCCCCCCTGGCACGGGGGGGGGGCACTGATGGGCACCCCCGGCTCTTGCAGTGGCTGAGAAAGCAAAGGAGCAGGCGTCCCAGCTGGGCGAAGCGGCATTCTCGGGTGCTGGCAACATTGCGGGGCGGCCACCGCTGGTGAAGAAGGAGGAGTTCCCTGCGGACTTGAAGGTGAGACCCCCTGGCCACTGCCATGCCCGCAGGGAAGCTGGCATGTCCCCAGGCTTGCTGGGGAGCTCCTCGGCTGCTCCCCAGCCCCGCGGGAAGGACCCCAAGGGTCCCCAGCTACTCTGCCTGTGCCCAGGGCAGGCAGGCGTCGCTGCCCCGAGTGTGCCGGCTGCGTGCATGGCTGCTGCAGACGTGTGCGTGTGCGGGCTCCTGCATGGCGGCCGGCGGGGGGGGGGGG